GGGAGAATTCCATCCAATGAAGGTTGAGGGGGGGGCTGCACTCCAAGGTCAGGGTCAGCGATTGGGTCCCCGGGGTCAGTGGTCAGGCACACCCCCACACGGATGGGCTCTCTCATCAGGAGAGGGCCGGGAAAAACTTCGACTTATGCCAAAGTGCCTCAGACCCTCAACGGGAGGCACCCGATCACGTGTGAGAATGGCTCCCAACAGCTCACTGTCCCTTTGGCTTTACGGGCAATGAGGTCCTACTTTCCCCTGCTGTTTTGATCCCCCATATCATCCAGGGTCTTTGGCTCCATCACCCCTCCCCCACCCCTGAGCTCAGCCATCCCCAGTGTCTCCACTGTGGCCTCTTCCTGTTCCTGCTGCTGTCCTGGCCTGGCCTAGCCTTCTCCAGCTGTGTTTCCAGGGGCTGACATCATTTCATATCATTGAGGTTCCTGAATCTTCTGGAGCTTTAGGATAAATGAAAAGGGCTCTTATTTTACAAACCCCATCATGTATAATAAAAACCCAGCTACAAAGACTGTGATATTTACCATGAATTTGAAATACACGTTCAAGCACATTTGGCTGACCCCGTTTGCCCCCGCCCCAGCAGAGGTTGGGAAAGACAAACACGAGTGGTTCCCTCAGCATTCTATTCTGCCACAGACCACGCTCTGTGTGTGGTTCCACAGGCAGAAGAGCTGAGTGCCCATGGACGTTCACACCCACTTCCCACTGTTACCAGTGGGTCCTCAGCCAACCCAGTCARTGCCAAGAGCTGAGAACCTCGTGAACTCCATTTTGATAGGAGCAGTGTGGTTGGATGACTAGCCGCACGTTTCTGGCTGGCAGAGACACCAAACATGGGACCCAGGTCTTAAGAGACTGATGCCTGTTGTCTGCCCCGGGTGCTACAGAGATGATGTGGACGCTGCTCTAAGGGGATTCCTTGTGGGCCAGATGAGCTGCTAGCCACAATAGCACCTTGCTGCACGCCAAGCAATTGGTCCCCCATTTCTGCTTGTTTGGGATGTTTCCAGGAGAAAAGCCACTGTAAGGACCCAAGAGGGAGGTGATGAGGAGGTTGCAGAGATGGAGTGGGCGATGGAGTGGCCCCAGGCAGTGCTTCCCTGGGGCTCTCCTCAGCATCCAAGCCTACCTCTGGAGTCCACGCTCCACACCAGCCTTCATCCTGCCCTGTTCCTCCACAGCGGCCCCCTCGTAGCTGCCAGTGGCTCAGATCTACTCCCCAGCTTTCTGCTAACAGCCTGGCTTCTGTGATAGTTTCCAATCATGGCTCACTTCCCAAAGCGATCTCAACAACAGTAGTTTCCTGTAGCCAAAGGCCAGGGACATGGCAAAGTTAGGAACTTACAGCCCTGGATGATCTTCTGTAGGTTTCTTTCTTTCATTGTAGATGGACACAATACTTTTATTTATTTTTATGTTGTGCTGAGGATAGAATCCAGTGCCTCACACATGATAGGTAAGCATTCCACCACTGAGCCACAACCCCAGCCCATAATCTTCCCTAGGTTTCTTTGTGCATCATTTTTTTAAACCCAGAATAGGATTGTGTGTTTTGGATATGTATGGTCATAAACAGCCCAATCTTCCTGTGTTTGCTTAGCAAGTGAATGCCAGCTGGGAAATGCTTAAAACTAACACAGGTTGGGGTGTAGCTCAGTGGCAGACCACTTGCCTAGCATGAGCAAGGCCTGGGGTTCAGTCTCTAGAACCACAAAAAATAAAATAAAAAATCTAAAACAAACCAACAAATAACAATAAAACTACAAACATACCCTAGAGTGTCACATTTCAGGACAAGAGCAATGTTTAAGCAACAGCCTGAGTGACACTTGAGGTCTGATGTCCTGAGCTTTTTAGAAAGATCAACCTCAGTACCCTCAACCTTTGAGACATTTTTACATATTGCTTTTGAGTGGTTTGTGATTATCTTAATTACATTCTTTTTTCCTGAGACAGGAGGCATGAACTTTTTGACAATCAGGAGGAAGTTAGACTAGAGTCTAGATTCTAGAGACCTTTTAGAACTAAAAAATGCCACAAGGGAGTGTAAGGTTGACAAGCAAGTAGTGCTTCAGGCGGCCAAAAAGGAGACTCATAAACTATAGGATTACCTAGAGGAGACAGATTTGTGATAGTTCTTGAGGATGCAGGTCGAGCATCTGTGAGGCACAGAGTGGGGGGCAGTCACTTAGCCCCACCTTGGGCACAGTGAGGGGACCTTGGTTAAACTTGAGTAGAGAGTAGGAGACACAGTGTAAGACCACAGAATTAAGATTTTAAATTTATCTGAAATTTTTGGATTTTGTTCTATGACCTGTGGTTAACTGTGGCCCTGTTTGACATGATATGAATCATCTTTGAAGAAACCTTTGAGGGTACATCCCTGAGGAGAGCTGACATGGGGGGCTGACTTGGAGGAGCACAGGGTCATAGAAAGAGCAGTAGCTGTCTACCTGGTAGTTATCWGGTAGGTTAGACTAGACCAAGATTTTGACACTCTGAGCTCCTGGTTCTCCAAGTGCAAAAGGGAATGATGGCCCCTTCCTCACTGGGATGAACTGATGACTACATGAAGTCACAAGTGCATAGCACAGCGTGACACACACTGCGTCTCTCTACCTTGCCCTAGACAGTGGCATCTGCTGGGTTTTGGGCTCAGCCATAAGCATCTATTTATTTTGAGGGTGTAATTGCCATTGTTCTGTGGGAGGGTCCAGATAGAATAATAAGGAGAGATTAAGAAAAGACAGCTGTGTATGAATTTCAGCTCTGGAGATATACTGCTTTCTCAAAACCATTTTAGGCCTTAAAGAAAACAGTGAAGTCCTGGACTTCCAAATATCTGCTGCAGTGATGGTGTCTTCTCTCCTTTTTCTCCTAGCGGGCCCAGTCTGAATCCCTGTGCGATCTAATAGGCACCCCAGAAGAGGAAGAATATGATGAGAAGCTTTGGCCTCAAGTCAGCACAGAAGAGAACCCCAGCTCTGGACAATATGATCTGATGCTGCATAGAGACCCTGAGCCTCGGGGACTGGTCACCTTGCTGCCACCTGGGGGACCCCGTGCCAGACGTGCCCGCCTACAGCACTGCCCAGCACTCAGTGCTAGCGTTGAGGATGGACTCTCCCCTGGGGATGATGTCTCAAACTCCCTAGTGATCCCGGAAGTCATTGAGCCTGTGGCAGTCTCAGCCCCATGCTTGGAGTCCCCATCTCTGCCAGAAAGCTCCCTGCATCCTAGTTCTGACCATGAAATCCAGCACAGTGAAATCCAGAAGAGGGGCAAAATCCAGGACAGTGAAATCCAGAAGATGGGGGAAATCCAGGACAGTGAAATCCAGAAGGACAGTGAGATCCAGAAGAGTGGTGAAATCCAGAAAGAAAGTGAAATCCAGAAGGGGGGCGAAATCCAGAAGATGGGGGAAGTCCAGAAGGACAGTGAAATCCATAAGGACAGTGAGATCCAGAAGAGGGGTGAAATTCAGAAGGACAGTGAAATCCAGAAGAGGGGTGACATCCAGGAGGACAGTGAAATCCAGAAGAGGGGTGACATCCAGGAGGACAGTGAAATCCAGAAGAGGNATCCAGAAGAGGGGTGACATCCAGGAGGACAGTGAAATCCAGAAGAGGGGTGACATCCAGGAGGACAGTGAAATCCAGAAGAGGGGTGACATCCAAGAGGACAGTGAAATCCAGAAGAGGGGTGAAATTCAGAAGGACAGTGAAATACAGTTCAGGGACGAAATCCAGGAGGACAGCGAAATCCAGAAAAGGGATGAAATCCTGAAAGACAGTGAAATCCAGAAGATGGAAATCCAGGAGGAGAACAAAATCCAGGAGAGTGAAATCCAGAAAAACAGTGAAATCCAGGATATCGAAATCCAGGAAAGTGAAATCCAGAAGGTCAGTGAAGTCCAAAAGGAGCCGCCCATCGCAGGCCCATGTCCCCTAGTCACGGGCACAGCTGGGGAGGAGGTGTGTGCTTCTGGAGAGATGGGAAGTCCACCAGCAGCCTGTGCCTCTGAGAGGAATGTGGCTCCTGCCCAGACTGTCACCACCACCATCACCTTGGAGACACCCCCGGATCCAGAGGGTCCAGGCCGAAGCCTGCAGGAGGAAGTGGGGCCCGCACTGGCAGTGCCAGGACCCGACGGAGCCGAGGGAGAGCCCCCCGCCCTGGCCCCCAGCCCTCCGATGCCCAAGAGCTGCCTGAAGCACAGGGCGGCCAGCGTGGGCCTGGCCGGGTCCCCGGTGCAGGGCGCAGGGCGGTCACCCCCACGGGAGCGCAGCCCGGGTGCCCCGGACACAGAGGCCCCGCGCGCAGCCCGCGCCAAGGCCGAGCGGGCGGAGCCCTCCCAGGGGGCACCCGAGAGGGCAGCGCCGGCGCGGAAAAGCGGGAGAGGTGGCGGGGAGCTGCGCAGCGTGAAGAAGTTCTCGGTGTCCTCGAGCAGGGCGCGGTCACGGCCCAGCGCCACCAGAGCCCCRGAGCCCGCTGGGGCCCCGGGTCCCCGCCTGCCGCTCCTGAGGAGCAGCGGCCTGGCCTGGAAGAGCGAGGCGGCGCTCGACGACCTCCAGGGGCTCCCTGACCCGCTCATCGCGAAACCAGACCCTCCGAAGCCAGCGGAGTGCGACCCTCGGGACTCGGGGGACATTGTGGGCGGCCAGGCCCGGCCCAGCAGAAGCCCCCAGAATGGCAARAGCACTCCAAGCGGCGCAGAGGCCGGCCCCGCCGCGCAGGAGCCACCCCCGAGCGAGGACAGAAACCCCTTCCCCGTCMAGCTGCGCTCCACCTCCCTCTCCCTAAAGTACAGAGAGGGCCCTTCCCAGGAGGCGAAAGGCGTCAAGAGGCACAGTGCGGAGGTGCGCTTAGAGAGAGGACTGACTCTGCCCTCCAAAGACGAGCAGGGTCACACGGGGGCCACCCCGGCTCTTCGAGGTGCCAGGTCTCCCACTGGCCAAGGAAAGGGGAAGGCCCGGGCACCTGAGCAGGTCGGCTTCAAGCCACCACTGCCCAGGAAGCCACTTCTGCAGAGCTTCACCCTCCCGTACTCCTCTGTGGCCCCAGAGGCCAGTCCTGGAGAGCCAGAGAAGGTCACCCCACCTGTGGACTCCAGGAAGGAGAGTAGGATACCGGAGAAGAAGTCGCAGCACAGGGGAGCAGGTAAGAGCCCCGGAGGGTGTTGGAGAATTAACAGTGGGAAATCCACATTGGTTGGAATTTCTTGGGGGATGGCCACAAAGTGTGTAAATACAGTAGGTACAAACCTTGATGCAAGGACAACTGGAAAAAAGAATCACAGTTGCTCTTAGTACCATTGATGATTGTGTTTGATTAAGAATTGGGCGGCAAGAGGTGTAGATCAGTGGTATAGCCCTTGCCTAACTTTTTTTTGCAAGGCCCTAGGTTCCATCCCCAGCATTGAAAACCAAACCAATAAAAAAATCCAAAAAAACACAAACAAAAACAGAAAACCTCTGATTAAGAGTTAGGAATASAGAATGACAGATACCAGGATTTTATGAGAATGCAGAGAAGTCATATATGTGGATATAATAAGAGCAATGTAAAACGGATTCTTTCCTRGAGATGGTAGGATCCTCAGTGGTCCATCCTACAAAAGTTTCTCCCACTCTGTCTCAGATAACAGCATGGCCCCAAATTCCAAGACATGTGCTCATTTTGATGTAGGTTCTCCCACGGTCTGAGCTACTGCTTGGCTATAAATGGAGCATTTCTCTTCTCTGCCAGTGAGAGCCCTGACCTTTTCCCCCCCAAAGAAGAATTTCTTCCTGTTTTAGAATCAGGCCCTTGTGGCCTGGCCTCACATACAAAATATCCTTTTCTTTTTTGTTTGTTTGTTTTTGGTACCAGGGATTAAACTTGAGGGCACTCAACCGCTGAGCCACATTCCCAGCCCTTTTGTATTTTATTTAGAGGTAGGGTCTCACTGAGGTACTTAGTGCCTCACTTTTGCTGAGGCTGGCTTTGAACTTGGGATCCTCCTGCCTCAGCCTCATGAGTTGCTGGGATGACAGGCACATGCCACCACACCCAGCCTGGAAAACACTCTTTATGATCGCACTCATAAGCCTTTGTGAAACATAACTTCTCTCAGAAGATCAAGGATCAGTATTTATTTTCTGTCCCAAAAGGGAGATCATGGTAAGAGGGGAGCAACACATAAGAATCTTTAAAAGCAAATATCTTTTAAGATAAGAAAGGACAAAATAAATGACTTTTCTCTCTGTTTGACATTTGTCACATTTTATACTGTTTCTGATAAAATGAGAAATCTGTTGGACACAGATATTTGCAGTGGAGCTAAATAATCATTCATTGCTGGTTTGTTTTATTAGTGGAAATCCATGTGCCAGGAAGCAAAACTACACAATTGGTTCGTATGGGTATGAGGGGGACCCTAGAGAGAAGCTTTCCATGGGAAATTCTATTTGACAATGTTTCTGGCTATTTTAAGTGGTACTAGAAGCCCAGGAATCCACTTAAGCACTACTTTAGGGGACAGAGAAGAAACAGAACTCAGTGGCTGTTTTTGGAGAATCCTGCACCCTAAAAGGAAGGTGCATGGCAGGGGGGAACCGTTAGCTCATACAAATTAACACAAATGCAAAAAACACTGTGTTTTCTGTGTCCCAGCTAGGAAGTTAGAGAAGATGTGAAGTCTAAAACACTGAGTTTCTAACTAAGGTGACACCCTCAGATTCAAGGAATTCCAAAGAACCCCCAGGTGTGAACTGGACCCTGAGCCCCGTGGTTCCGCCATAACTTTTGTGCTGCTGCTCCATTACAGTAATCAGTGAGGAGCTTGGGGGAGGCTCAAGTCACGCTGATGGCCCACTCTGCAGATCTCTAACACGTTATTAAAGTGAATGTAGGGTGAGTCAAAAAGCCATCTTAATGGCAGGGTGGGGGGTTGCTCTGTGCAGGTGAAACCAATATCAACACCATCCACCTCCAGGGTGAGGAACTGAAATGCCTCTCAAGGGCTTGCCAAATGAATGCARCTTAAAAACAGGACACTCAGGGTCACAGAACTGGAAAAGAAGCACCACAGGGCAGCACTTGGCTCCTTAATTAGGTATGACCTCCTCAGCCAAGGCTGCCAGGTCATCAGCACTATATAAAATGCTCCGGATAGTCTCAGTAGTGACACTTTTTGTGTTTTTTCTTTGACTTGTAAAATGCAATTCAGTATTTCTTTAAGGCTTTGCTTAAATAATAGAATTTTCTTGTCCATCTATGTGTATTAACATTCTCTAAGCCACAGAAGTAATCAAATGAATTCCAAAGTGAAAGAAGCTAGAATACTTTTATGGGCACAGGTAATGATTTTCATTTTAATGCAAAGAGAGGAGAGGAATCTCCCACATTCCGTTAGGAACCCATCTTCCCTGGGGCCATATTTGAGACACAGATCTCAGGATGAGCTGTGGTTGCTGCTGGTCCCACTCCGGACCTTGGGCTCCAGGGCCTGCCTCCTGCTGACCAGGGCAGAATCTCAGGCTCTGTTTCTGAAGCAGCCCCTACAATTTCCCAGGCAGGATCTGTTTGTGATTTAATTCATTATTATTACTTCTTCCCTCATCGTCATCGCTCCCAAATTATAGCAGCTGGAGGYAATTTGATTCATATAAAACATATAGATAATAAAAGTTTTAATAACAGTGTTCATCTGTTTTCCAGGAAGACCTAATTATTGCTGTTTGTTATYTTGTGGTGTCAGGTACTTCGCCCACAGCTCCTGGGGCTGCCATCTCCCCAGGGCATGGGCCATAAAGTTAGATTATTGAAGTGTCCCCAGATGGGTACACAGTTCTGCCTCAGGAACTCCAGCAGCTGTGGCTTTAGCACTCCTGTTCATCTTTGTCCTATTCCTCCTCCTCCTCTCCCTCCTCCTCTCCCTCCTCCTCCTCCTCCTCCTCTCCCTCCTCCTCCTCCTCCTCCTCTCCCTCCTCCTTCATCTCTTCCTCCTCCTC